CCAGCTGCTCCTCGGAAATCCTAAGAGTCGGAACCAACTCAAAAGCACTGAACAACAGTGAGAGTCATTGAGTCCCTCGTTAGTGTAAACAGCTGAACATTTGACTACTAACTGACTGCAATCTGAGCCCATTCAGAAGCTTCTCAGAAGGGCCTTCCAATGTGCTTCAAAAAAACTCACAACCTTGAAAACCCTATGCAGTACAGTTTTACTGTGAAACACATGGGGTTGCCAAGAGTCGGTTTGACTTGGTTTTGTTTGGTGGAAATGATGTCTATATTTGTCCTGTAGAATTGTCTTGTCTTGCCTTACACTATTTTCTTCTATATAGTTGTTAACTGCCGTTGACTCAATTCCAACCCATGGCAACCCTGTATAGGGTTTCTGAGGAGCAGCTGGTGGGTTTGAACCATCGTCTTTACGGTTCAAAACGGCTTTGCAGTCCAGCGCATTAACCCACAGTGCCATACCAGGAGTCCATCTGTATGTTAGAGTTGAGCAAAAAGGCGAATAGAAACCATTTTCATAAATGGAGCCTGTTCAGCTTCCTTTAACAAAAAACAAGATAGTGGATGGGTTATTTGATGCAATATCCACCACATTCCTCTCTCTGGGTGTCATTTAAATCGAGAATTACCTACATGAAAGCATTTACGGCAGCACTCCTCAGAGAACTAGAAATGAGGCAATTCCTAAGTATTCCAGGAAAAAAGGTACATGGGCAAATGAAAATGGTTTAGAAGAAGTTAAGAAGGGTCTCTCTCATGCATTCCTCCTAAACCACAGGATCTTGCAGAAACTCTAAAATGCAAATATGCAAGATGTTCCTCCAAGAAGGAACAGAGAGCACAGTAATTTCCAAGCTCATTTGACTACAGAAGACTTGATTGAAAGGTCACTTCTGGTTCTCAGACACACTTATTGTGAAGTATGCCTCCCCTTTAAGTCCTCAAACCCAGTGCCATGACATCGATTACCACTCATAACAACCTTCTCAGACAAGGAAGAACTGCCCCCACAGAGGAGTTTCCACAGCTGTAAATCTTTATGGACTCAGACTGCCACATCTTTCTCCCCTAGAACGCATGGTGATTTCAAGCCACCAACTTCCTAACACAGTGCAGACACTGCGCCACCAGCATTCCTTCATTTAAAGGCTTTGTTGATGTTGTTAAGTGCTGTGAAGTCGGTTCCGACTCATAGTGACCCTGGATAGGGTTTTAAAGGAGCAGCTGGTGAGTTTGAACTACCGAAATGAAGTTAAAACCAACCTTGCAGTCCAGTGCATTATCCTATATTGCCACACAGGGACCTTCCCTAGGAGTGGGAATGACTAGCCTAGCGCTCAGTGTTAAATCACACGCACACATCTGTCCATTCTCCATTCCCAGAGAACCACTGTTTGGAGTAAAGTCTGAAAACATTCATTTTACAAATGAGAAATCAAAAGTTCAAAAAGATTTAAGCAAAACTGAAACTCATGGGGTAATTGCTGGAATTGAAACTCAATGAAGTTGAAAACAAAAACACTTGAAACTTAACAATAAAATGGTTAATGGTGCCTTTTAGGGAAGAAAGAACATAGTTTTTTAAAAGCCTTATGAAATCTTTGGAAATAGATAAGTCCAGTACCATATCAAGTGGAGGCAAGATTACATCCAGAGATTTCTCTGGGGTCAAACAAAATAAATCCTAACAAAACAATTTTCCATATGGTATGTACAAGAATTGTTTCCCAGGCAAACAGAGGGAGGAGATACCATCCACTCACTTGAAGCTGGAACTCAGTAAATATGGCGCATAAGAAAATATCACAAACCCTTTTAGCCTTGAAAATCCAAACTAAATTTTATATAATTAAGTCGATTGCAAATTAAAATTGGAGCAGGAGGCAGGGGATTAGACAGATTTAAAAATAGTTTTTGCAAAAAAAGACGAGCAATATTTCAGGTGAATCTGATTTCCATTGCACCTCTACAGACACTAATGTAGATAATCGAGTCCTGGTATGGCACTGTGGGTTAATGCGCTGGACCGTAAAGTCATTTGAACTGCAAGGTCGGTGGTTCAAGTTCACCAGCTGCTCCTTGTAAGCCTTATACAGAGTTGCTATGGGTCAGAACTGACTCGACAACACTGAACAACAATGTAATAATGGTAGCACACATGTATGCTTACTGCTTGAGCAGATAATAAGAAATGGGGTAACAAGAAGCTAGGAAAGGTTAATAATGTTTATAGGTACAAAGAGTTCTAAAGTTGGAAAGATACCAAAGTAACAGTCATCTAATTTTCTGCTTCTGAGCACTCCCCAACAATGGTAGAAAGATTGATCTAAATGTACTAACTCCTACCCCTAAATTGTTGAAGGAGAAATGGGAGACAGTTGTGCTAATTTTTTGTTTTTTGCTTTGTTTGTTATCAGAGTCTTATTTTGTTGTTGCTGGGACTATGCACAGCACACAGGCATCTGTTCAACAGTCTCTGATGTCCCAGTTAGTGACACTGAGGACATTCTTGACATACATTGCACAACCACTTTCATTCCCCTTTTCTGATCTGACATATACTCACTGTACCCTATGATTGCTAGCTAATCTTTGTGTGTGCGTGTTGTTGGGGTTAGGTGAACGTTTGTAGAGAAAATTAGTTTTATCTATACTTCAGCATCCTCAGCAACCACTATTTTTGTTGTTGTTGTAAATTTATCATAATTAGGAGCCATGAGCTATTGAAATGATGTCAGCATTATTATTAAGTGCTGTCGAGTCAATTCCAACCCATAGCTACCCTGTATAGGGTTTCCGAGGAGCGGCTGGTGACTTGAACCGCTGACCTTGCAGTTCAAACAACTTTGCAGTCTGGCGCATTAACCCATAGCGCCACACCAGGACTCCTATGTCAGCATTAGCCCCTCGTAAATAAGTACAATTTAGTGATATCACCTACTTGGCTTGAGTATTTTTCACCTAACATTGAGGTACAAACTGAATACATTCTCCAATTCTGCACTATCAAATCTCAGAGCAAACATGGAATTTTATGCCCTGCTTTTAAACATTAGTAACTCCACACAAAAACGTCCAACCTGGTTTTAGTCAAATATTGCTTCTGACTCATTTGTTTCAAGGATTTGCAAGGCAGGAGGCTGGGAGGCAGGGGGGTAGAGGGTTGTGGAGTCTTCGGCTTGTAAGAAACTGACAGACATAGTAACTTTTGAAACACAGCATTCAGAAACAAAACAAGAGCAAAGGGAACTGCAGTAGTTCTGTGATGACCAGGCCTACTCTTCACTTCCTACAGAGTAACACACTCACATAAGATGAGGAAGAAGAACACAGTTACTTCACAGTCAGACCTACTCCTGGCACCCGACTTAAAACTACAACATCCTTCAGCCCTGCGCTCCCGATCCACCTCAGCCTGCTGTATTTTTTTGTACACCTTTAATATTTAGGCGCCCTGATGGAGCAATGCTTAAGTATTTAGATGCTAACCAAAAGAGTGACAGCTTGAACCCACCAGCTGCGAGGATTACTGCCTTGGGAACCCTGTGGCCAATTCTAGTCTGTCCTATATGATCACTATAAATTGGAATTGACTTGATAACAGCAGGTTTGATTTATTAGGTTAGCAACTCTGGTGCACAACAGTTAAGCAAGTAGCCATTACTGAAGATTGAGCCCATCAGCTGCTTCTGTAAAATTTACACCCTTGGAGCCCCTCTCTCTGGGGTAGTTCTACTCTGTCTTATAGGGTCTCTGGAATCAATCAGATGGCAATGGGTTTGGTGTGGCTTTGGGTTATGAGATTAACACACAATCGCCATCAACTGAAAGTATGGAGGTTCACTGGCAGTTCAAGTCCACCCTGGAGGTGATCAGAAGAAAGATCTGCCGATCCACTGGTGAACCATTTCAAAAGACAGGCTATTGAAAATCCTGTGGGGTACAGTCCTACTCTAGTGCTCCTGGGGTCGTCATGAGTTGGAGTCCAGCCCACAGCAACTCTCCTAGTGATGGTGACGGTACTAGAACCAACCTTCAGGAAAATTCGGTAATAAAGGTCAAGGATGCTGATACCGGATGCCAGAACCAACCCTGGGGATATCTAGGATTTCACTTCACTATATGGAATAAGAAGCAAAACAGAATACACAAGATGTATGATAACGTAGAAGTTGTATATACTACGTCCTTTGTAGGAAAAGAAGAAATATAATGAAAGGAAATTCAGAACATAGAGTAAATTGCTACCTGATTTCTCCATCATTCAGAAATATCTGGCGATACTATCAAACCCCACCCACTCACCCACCCACCTACCAAAAAAAAAACAGCCTGGTGAACGTCTAATAGAAGATCGTTAACTCAGGCATGTTAAAATTGACTCTATTTTGTTCCTTTGATAAAATCTTAAGAATAAAAAGACCATGCTTATTCAACCAGTAATTAAATTTTAAACACATATATACACACAGTGAACTGTGCCTAAAAATCAGGAAACATCTGATTTACCATTCAAGATAAATTTAAAAACAGATCCGAATGCTATTCAAAGCAGGATTTCTCATATTAGCAAACCCTAACATCTCGCTGGAATCCTGGTGTGGCGCTACAGGCTAATGTGCTGGACTGTAAAGTCAGTCTGAACCACAAGGTTGGTGGCTCAAGCTCACCAATTGCTCCTCGGAGACCCTATGCAGGGTCACCATGGGTCAGAACTGACTCGACAGCACTTAACAACAACAAACATCTCATTAGTGAAGAACAGTGTCGCCATAAGGTAAGCATTGGACTGTGAACCACAAGGTCTCTGATTTGAACCCTCAGGAAAAGATGAGGTTTTCTGCTCCCATGAAGACTGGCAGTTGAAGCTCACCAGTCGCTCCTCAAAATCCCTATTCAGGGTTGCTAAAAACCGACTCAACAGCACTAAACAACATCTCATTAAACTCCCCCTTGTATTTTCTCATTAGAAATTCATCAGGGAAAACTTACAGCTGTGCAAAAGCTGCACCGGCATTCCTGGAGGGTGGTCATCTTGTCTGGAGAATGCTCACACAGACAGAGTTTGCAAGTGACCAGGGGAGCTAGAGCCAAGTCTCCAGGCATCGGACTCTCGGCAGTCATGGTGAGCAAGTGGAGCTTACCAACTGAGTCCATCAGCCTGTCTGGACACTTCTTCAGTCTTCTCTGTTCCTATGGGAAGAAGCAAAGCAGAAAATATTGTATCCTTTGATAGAGTTGTTTAACCAACACACCTAGAGTCTAGTAGAGCAAAGCTGCTCCCTTACCAATCTCTAAGCATACAGCTAGGGCATTTCTGAGAACCATTTCTAGACAGGTTGCGCCTTAGCAAAGTGTTCCTGGAATCCTGATATAAAAATGGACCTCACTATTCTGATTCATACATATAAGCTATAGGAATTAAAAGGTCTCTACTGGTGTGGCACTGTGGGTTAATGCGTCAGACTGCAAAGTTGTCTGAATTGCAAGGTCGGTGGTTCAAGCTCACCAGCTGCTCCTTGGAAACCCTATACAAGGTCGCTATGGGTCAGAATCGACTCGACGGCACTTCACAACAAAACAATGGGCGGGTTAATGTGCTGGACTGCAAAGTCGGTTTGAACCACTTTGGTAGTTGGTTCAAGCTCACCAGCCACTCCTAGGAAACCCTATGCAGGGTCGCTATGGGTAGGAACCAACTCGGCACTTCACAACAACATGAGCAAGCTCTCCACTAGGAGGTGCAGCATTACAAGCAATCCAACTGATACAAAACAATATAGACTTAAATAGGGAGTCTCTGTTGCAGGCATTCCTTCATGCATATTGTTTCATTGAATCTTTTACAGCCATGACGACTTTTTTTTCTTCTTTTTATTGATGAACTCAGATTCTGAGAAGTGAAATAATGTGTCTAGGTTCTTCAGTTTTGTCTATGGTAAAGCAGAACTCACACCTCCAGAGGCTAAGGCCAGTGCCTATTCTATTACACCAGCACTGCCCCACAATTGGATATTATGTGGAAGGGAGAGTAAGAAGGAAAGAAGAGAACTGGGAGAGATAGAAGAAAAAGAAAAAAAGTAGAGGGAGAAAAAGAGTGATGATGTCCCTAAAAGTTACTAAAATTGTTGTTGTTGTTGTTGTTATGTGCCATCGAGTCGGTTCTGACCCATAGCGACCCTGTATAGGGTTTCCGAGGGTGTAAATCTTTACGGGAGTAGAAAGCCTCATCTTTCTCCCGCGGAGCACCTGGTAGTTTCGAACCGCTGACCTTAAGGTTCGCAGCCCGATTCGTAACCACTAAAATTATACAGGAATAAAATTTGTCTCTGCCTGAAAGACCCTTACATACACATTGCTCAATAAAAAAAGAGTCCTGGTGTAGCACTGTAGAAGCACCTGCTAACCGCAAAGTCGGTGGTTCAAACCCACCCATAGCTCCCTGGAAACCCTACACAAGGTCGCCATGAATGAAACTGACTTGATGTCATTTAACAACAACATATAAAAAGAACCCATCTGAAAAATCTGCATACTGTATGACTTCAACTCTTAAGACATTCTGGACAAGGTAAAACTCCAGAAACAACTAGTTAAAAGGTCAGTGGTTGCCAAGTGCTTAAGGGGAATGGAGGAGGATGAATAGCTGGGACACAGGGCATTTTTAGGGCAATGAAACTGTTTTGTACAATACTCTAATGGTGAACACATGACATTATGTATTTGTCAAAACTTGTAGTACTATACAATACAGAATGAAATGTAAATGATGGGCTTCAGTTAATAATAATGTATCAATACTTGTTTAACAACTGTAACAAATATACCAGGCAAATACAAGAAGTTGATAATTTAAAAAAAGTGTACAGGGTGAAAGGGAATACATTGGAGTTCTCTGTAATTTCTACTTTCTGTACAATTTTTCTGTAAACCTAAAACTGCTCTTCAAAGAAATTTCTCTGACACGTTGTTAAGTGCCTTCAACTCGGTTCCAACTCACAGAGTCCCTGTATAAGGTTTCCTAGGACTGGATGGTGAGTTTGAACTGACAACCTTGAAGTTCAACCTACCTTTTGGTCCAGTGCTTATGTAGTGCACACCAGGGCTCTACATAGCATATTCATATTTATACCACATCAGGAAGTATTATGTTCTGATTAAGTAAGTACACACTTGTATAAAGTTCTTCCTTTTTCACAAGAGTGTGGTCAGTACTCACAAATCCTTTCATAATAATAATAATAAAGACAACCTCCTCCCATAAGAACAAGATTCATTTCCTCCCCATCTCTGGACAGATGGTTACTTTATGTGGATGGGACTGGCTACAGACACACACACAATGGCTTAAGTCTCAATGCAATTGTTGTTAAGTGCTGTGGAGTCAATTAACTCACACCCTGGATAGGGTATATACAGATACAAAAGAGCTAAAACTGGGGGAAAGAGGAACTGAATTAGATGGAGGAAAGGTAAAACTATGAGCTCTTTGTCAGTTTGCCAGCACTAATGTTCTTAATGCCATACACGAAAGAGTCGACAATTACTAATGCTTATAACAAGAAGAGGTACAGGTTTTTCACCTATTCCTTAAGAAGCAGAAATCTGGATTAAACCAAACTCAATCAGAGGCTAAGTAATGATTTCTCAACATTCCAATATGAAATGCAGATGATATTTCTTAGGAAAACCCCAATATGGTTCAAGTCCTAGTATTCTGAACTGCTTATTGATGAGTGATCACTCAAGAGCAAATTAAATTTTAATTCACTTATACTTCAAATTCAGGAGCTCTGGTGGAGTATTCAGTTATGCGTTGGGCTGCTAATCACAAGGTCAGCAGTTCAAATCTAACATTCGCTCCATGGGAGAACGATGAGGCTTTCTGCTCCTGTAAAGATTTACAGCCTCAGAAACTCTATGCAGGGTCGCTGTGAGTCAGCACCGACTTGGTGGCATCTGGCCACCACCACTGATTTCAGGCAGTACCAATTCTAGGGGTGAAAGTGACAGATTGTACCTCTTTCCTCTTCCTACTCAATGCTCTGACAATTAACATCAGTGAGTTCATCTAAAGACACCAAAGTTCCAGAGGACATTCTCATGATCTCTTCCACATGCTGTCTTCTCATCTCTACAACATATCATGAATAATCTTCCCTCCCCAAAAAGAGAAATCTCATATCAATCAACAAGAAGAAATGTAGCCAGAAAATGCTTTCTGATTTGTTAGTGTGCACAGATCTTTCAGAGCTGGTTTGTTTGCATTTCTTTCATTTCTGGTAGATCTATGTACTTTTTTATGTTCTGATTTGCTATCTGTACTTCCTGTGTAAACTGTTCATCTCCTTTGCTGCTTACTGAGTGGAAGCTTGGCACTGGGCTTTTTAAAAATAAAATCAATATATTAAAAAAAAAATGCTTTCTGAGTAAGGAAGACAAGACATGCCACAGTCCAGCATCATCTTCATACTCTAAATCTCTAAGACCCTTAAGAAGATGTTTACTGTAGCTTGTAAGAAGTGAATTTTGCTGTTCCAACCTAATCTCAAAAAATAAAATAAACCAAGACAGTTGCCATCAAGTCAATTCTGACTCATAGAGGGAGGCCCATGTGCTCAATAGAGTTTTGGTATTTGTTTTTAAGTTTTTAATGTGGATTGAGTGCAAGTTTACAGGGCAGATCATCAGTTTTACTTTCAACAAATCATACACCTTGTTTCATTACAATGATTATAATCCCCTCCATGTACCATCAGTTAACAGTATTTCTCTCTATTCATTTTACCTTTTTTTTAAAAAAAAAACACTCAGGCATATATAATAATTTACACCACCAAGGGGCACATTCTGCAAGTCTGCCTCCTGGCCGCTAGCTCTCAGTCCCTCTCTTCCTAGAGTCCCCAGCTGCTCCCTCTCTCCATGTCCCCATCTCTGCCTCCATCTCTGGTGTCGCTGCTTCTCTGGATAGGGTCCCACATTCCGCTTGTGCTCTTCTCCCTTGATGGTCCTAGGGTCCTCTGTTTCTGGACTGCAAGATTAACTACTCCCCCAATTTTGTTATAAAACCTCTACCTTTACATTTCTGACCGTCACAGTTAGTCGTGATAACAATTACTCACTATTGAATCATAAGAATTGTATCTCCATCTCTTTTAACCAGACCCATCTAGACAAGATGAAAACTATTCAGTGGGAACTCTATCTTCCCCACACACTCTTAAACTGAACTCCCTCTTGAAACCTTGTAAGCCAGTCACTTTGTGCCTTTATCGCCCGCCATTTTAGGTAGCCGATGTCTAAGTTGCCCATCCCTATCTACCCTGTGTACAGAACAGAACGGATAGCATTGATACTTGCTGTGAACGCTCCTTAAATGAGTGGCATGAGTATAGGTCAAGTTCATCAAATTGTAGCACTATACCTTTGTTTCCTTTATGAAAATTTTGTAATTTTATTTTTTATCTTCCTCTAGTCAAGTTCTGATCTTCAAGCCATCAAGTCTAGGTCAAATGGGTACCAACTGAAACTTTGGGTGTTCTTGTGCATCTCCCCTTACTTCATATCAGCTGAATGCTTCCCTCTCTGTTCTATTCCTCCATGGTTATGTCCTTGTCCATGGGCTCAGGTGTCTCTAGGTCTCACCACACTTTGGACCAACCAGCCCCTCCTCTTCTCTCTCTCATCTCCAGGCCAAGGTGAGTCTATGGTCTGTGGTTGAACTCAGCCCATTTCTTCATTGCTGCCTTTCCCCCTCTTCCACTCACCAGTACACTACTGTGGTCACCAGCAAGCTTACATGCCTGCTCATGTGTTCCCTTTGAGTTTCAATAGAGTTTTCAATGGCTGGGTTTTCAAAAGTAGGCAGATCTGTCTTCTGAAGTGGCTCTGGGTAGATTCCAACCTCTTGCATTTTAGTTAGCAGTTGAGCACAGTAGCCATTTGTACCACACGAGAACTGCAAGACCTGGGCACTCTTCACAGTTTCAATTAATAATATTTTTTAGAAATAGACATTAAGCAGGCTAAATGTCTAGTATAATCTTGAAAAACAAAGATATAAACATAGAGCAGACATCCCTCTTAGACTTTTATTTTCAAACAGTACTAGAATTTGTGCTAATCAAGTTGGCTTGAAACATAATGTCAAAAAATTATGTTTTTGAATTCTTAGTTTGTGAGTGACATG